CCTCCTCTTCCTCAGCCCACTCCTCCTCCCCTTCTCCCTTCTCTTCCTTCTCCTCCTCCTTCTCCCTCCTTTTCCACCTTCTTTTTCCTTCTTTCTCTCTTCCTCTTTCCTTCCTTCTCCAAAAAAATTGAACTTGATGCTCCATATAATTGATAATTGTTACTCAACTAGAAAAAAATGCAAACACTTTGAGGAATTGTGGGGATTGTTGGGCGAGAAGCTTGAAGTGATTTCATTCCAACAGGATATTTATAATTTTCACATTCACTGAGGGAGGGAAGCATGAAATTCAGTGATTTGAAGATTATACTGGAAAGACAGTTTATTACTTTCTGCATCTGTTTGACAGATTGCACTGTTTAATGTTTTTGAATTGTGTGGTATGTGCTGAACACAATGTGGGGAGTGTTTTTGAACCCGTGTTAAAGATTGATATGCAAGGTGGTACCATGTGCTTGTATGGCTCTTCAGTTTGGGGGACACAGTGGCAACCCTCCCAGGTGGGGTCGCACACTTTCTGGCCCTGAAGGCTCATAAGATTTCTCAGCTGCTTGTGATACTGTCTAACAGGGGTGGGAATATGGTCAGATTGTTTACAAATGGGATTCAGGGTATCTCTACCCTCTTGTCTCTTTCCAGTTGCTCTGGAGACTAGATGTGTGCCTGGCTACTCCTTTTGTGTAACTGGTAACAACCCCAGGATCATTTGAGAATTTCCTGTAAGACTGGGTAAGTTGAAGATCAGTTTCTCAGGTATAGCCTCCCCTGGCCAGTCCAGGCCACAGAGCCTCCCAAAGTCTCTTCCTGCGTACCCTCTGTGACAGATTTACATAAACTGTGATTACCTTTGCAAATAATTAAGGTTTGCAAAGAAAATTACCTAAGATGCTAGAATGTTTAATTTTACGTGTCAACTTGGCTAAGCCATGATACCCAGGTCAAGTATTATTCTAGATGTTTCTGTGAAGGTATTTTTTAGATGAGACAAACATTTAAATGAGTAGATTTTTAGCGAAGCAGATTACCCTCCATAACGTGCCTGAGCCTCATGCAGTCAGCTGAAGGCCTTAATTTAAAAAAAGACTGAACTTCCTTGAAGAAGAGGGAATTCTGCCAGTGGATGGCTTTTGGACTCAAACTGCAACTCTTCTCTGGGTCTCCAAGCCTGCTGGCCTACTCGGCAGATTCTGGACTTGCCAAGCCTTCCCAGTTGTGTGAGCCAGTTCCTTAAAATAGATCTCTCTCTCTAGATGTATACATCCTGGTGGTCCTGTTTCTCTGGAGGACTCTAATACAGATGCCTTTATCATAGAAGTGCATTTTGGCATTCTTTAAATGGAAGTAGATAAAATCTTCCATTTGGAGTACTGCATTACATTTTCTAATAAAAATGTAACTTAAAACCCAAGGGTTTTTGGCTATTTTTTATAGAGGATAGAAGAGTGCATGGGAAACCTTCAATGATCATAAACATTTGTGAATGAAAGTCAAATGAAAAGCCTACAATTAGTCTGTGATGACATTTCCCTCCCCTAGTAGTATAAAGGGTGTAAGAACCATTTACCTAATCCTCTAAAGAGAGTGCATATGGCTTGCTGGCTTATGGTGATGTTTAAGTAAAAAGCTTGCTAAAAAAAATTGACTTTTGAAAATTACTCTTCTGCATGTTTCAGTAGCATTTTTCTTCCCATATATGCTTCTTGTTGACTGCTCTTCCTGAGGGGAAAAAGGGCCTGGCCCTTCCCATTTGAGAAGATGTACTGGAAAGACCAATTGACATGTCATTGACTGGAATTTAGTAACATTCTAGCCAGAGTCACCAGAGAGGCTGGGAATTAAGGTCTTTTAGCTGTGCACGTCGGCACTCCAAATAAAATTGGGTTCAATTGCTCAGGAGAAAGGGAAAGTGAATATTGGGGCCAACAACTACCAGCCTCTGCCACCTGGTGCTTATCTTTGTTAGTGTTATTTAAAATCTCAATCTGTGGAAAAGGATTTTGCCTAGTGGTTTTCAGTACTGCTATATTAAATCTGGCAGACCTGAATCATCATTGTTTTTAGGGAAAAACAAAAGCCACATACACACACTTAAAATTACTGGAAAATGTTGGAGCTGGCAGGGATCTTAGAGTCTGGCACATTATCTTCATTTGGCGGAGGAAGAAACTAAAGCACAGAGATGCAAAGTGACTTAAAAGTTACAATGCACTGCGAAGACTTCTTGGAAGCAGGAAGTTGGTTGTCTCAGCCTGTACCTATACCCACCCCACCCCCAACCCCAAACCCTGTCATTTCAAGTTTAATCAAAGTCACAAAGCTATCCAGCCCTTCAGGGCTGCATTTGTTTCTTTCCATGAAACTTAACTCTCCAAATACCTGCCATCTGGGAATAAGCAAGCCCAAGTAAAAAGCTGCAAATTCTTGCTGTACCGCTCACACTATTTATTTTTAGCAGCGAAAGGATCATTCCCACTCTTAGCATCTTGAAATAATAAAAGCCGGCATCTATTGAGAATTAGTTTGTGAGCTCCATGGAAGCAGGGATCAAGTTTGATTTCCCTCATCACTCTATCCGTGGTGCCTAGCCCAGTCCGTGATGCGTACTACAGAACACAGCAAATAAGTAGCTGTTGGATGAGTGGACGTAGTGTTTACAAGGTGGCAGACACTGTGTTAAGCGCTTTTCATGGGCTATCTCATTCTGTCTTCATAACTATCCCATGAGGTAGGTAATATTTAAAACTAAAATTTGAAAACGTGCCCAAGCATACAAACATAGTGAGTGTTAGGACCCGGACTGCTCTGTCTGACTCCATCCTGAATCACTAGGGAGGCTGGAGGTTTCGGGGTTGCCATTGATTATCATATGAAATGTATAAAACTACTGTTAGATTAAATATGGGGAATTTTTAAAGCCTGACTAGCTGACATGTTATCCAGCACTAGAGATAAGTTACTGAACCTTAAAAAATAATGGAAGAATAAAATAGGAAAAGACTGACCTGCTGGGTTAGCTAAAGATGGCTGGGTATTTGGGGAGGAAAAGAATGAGGTTGAGTGGAGAATAATTATGCAATAAAGTTTCTACCTTATCTTGTTTGAGAGTCCAGGGACTCTCTTCTACATTCCATTTGAAAATGCCATCCTGTGGTGTATCACTTCTAGATCATAGATGAGAGACATTGAAATCTTATTGCCAGGGTTTATTCCCATGACGCTAAACCTTTCAGAGGAAACGGTGCATTTGCACAGACACAGAGGAGAGCAGTGAGCCCCAAGAACTGACTCTGGTTTCTATGCCTCAGGCACTGCTCCTCCGCCTCGTTGGGACAGAATTTTTCTATTTTTGTGTATGGGATTTTTTATTTTCCCCCTGAGGCATTACTAATGCCAGAAGTCTGTGTTAGGTGGTGAGGATGAGATCCTGTTTCTCAGACTCCTACAGCCAGACCTAAGCCATTGTGTCTGGAACAGAATCCCTAAAGCTAATCCACGGGACTGACTTGATCTAGGGCTCAAGTCTTTGAGTGGAGGCGGGTTGGAGACCATGATGCCACATTCCTTTAAAGGTTTTATTTTTTCCCCTCCCTCCATATTTCTAGAGCCTGGTTGTTCTCGACCACGGGTGTACATAGAATCATCTGAGGAGACCTAAAATATGGATGCCCAGGTTCCGCCCCCTAAGGGTCTGGTTTAATTAGTTTGGAGAGAGGTCCAGGCACTGGCATTTATTTTAAAAGCGTCCCAGGTGATTCTGATGCGTAGTGGGCGTCGAGCGTCATTCTTGTAGGCTCCTGCCCCAGTGACCATTGTTTTTCTTCGCCTTTCTCCCCTTCCTGCGTCCTGGCTCATGCAGCCTGGGGGCGTCTTCTCATATTGGATGGCATTTGTAAGGACTGTTAAAGACTGTGCATTTGATTGGGGTGGGGAGGACAGGACACGGAAGGCTTCTATGAAATCACAGAGTGAGGTATATATAACAGTGGCCTATTTTTTCTTTTTAATTAAAAATCAATGAATATCCCACATGCCGCGGAGCGGCTGGGCCCGTGAGCCATGGCCGCTGAGCCTGCGCGTCCGGAGCCTGTGCTCCGCAAGGGGAGAGGCCACGACAGTGAGAGGCCCGCGTACCGCAAAAAAAAAAAAAAAAAAAAAAAAAAATTAATGAATAAACCTAAGGAAAGAAATAACTAAAACTAAACAAATGTGAACTAGAAAATTTTTATGGCTTTTCTGTAACCAGTAAATCTGAGCACAGATTATCTTAACACCTGGAAAAAATAGGCTAAATGAATGCTTTTGTAAGAAATGGCCTTCATAAAACTGACTCAAGATGAATTGAAAAGAAAAAAGAAAGCGATCAATTATCATGGAAGAAATTGAGCCATTTGCTGTAAAACATCAGAGAAAAACAGTGTCCGCTTGGATAATTTTAAAATATTGAGGACCAGATGGTTCCAAGGCTGTTTAAAAGTGTTCTAGAACAGGGAAAAAGAAGTAAAGCTTCTGAATTATCTTTCTGAAACAAGCACACCATTGGTATAAAATAATGGGTGAGGGTAGCTCTTAAAAACAGTTAAGGGATATATGTATATGTGTAGCTGATTCACTTTTTTATAAAACAGAAACTAACACACCATTGTAAAGCAATTATACTCCAATAAATATGTTTTTAAAAAAACAAAACAGTTAAGCAATTTAATCTTTCCTAAGAACATTGATATAAAATTCCCAAATAAAGCATAAGCAACTAAAGCATAGCAATGCATAAAAGGTTAGCACCATGGCCTAGAGAGGTTCATTTTAACAAGTCAAAGATGGATCAGTAGGGGAAATCTGCTAAAGTAATTGTCTATTTTGATTCATAAAGAAGAGGGAAAGGTATGGTGATTTCAATAGATGTGGCAAAGGCATTTGATAAAAGTCAATATATATTCTGGATAAACAGAACAGTAAAATAGTAATAGATCATATTAGGGAAATTTCAATAGGTTTTCATTATGCCTGATGGTGAAACACTAGAACCAGTTTTTAAAGTTAGAAATAGATGGGATGCCCACAGCAATAACCACTATGATTTAACAGATGTAACAACAAGTTTAGAGCACCAAGTGAACAATGCTTTCTATGTTCCAGGCAAATCACTGAATTCTCCCAACACCTTGCAAGAGAAATGCTACTATTCACATTTTACTGGTGAGAAAATAAAAGCACAGAGAAGTAACTTGCCCGAAGTCACACTGCCAGGAAGTGATAGAACTAGGACTGGACTTTGTGCCTACATTGCCCCTTTAGGAACAAAATTCTTTTTTTTTTTTTTTTTTTTT